CAGCCACAATAGGCGGCACTCAGGCTTGCTGCACAGAGGTACACGTCCACCGCACCTACACGTCCATCGTGTTCAAGGCACCCCTGCCTGCTTTCCGTTTCAGCATTGGTAGCGCCTGAGGACTCTGCGAATATAGTAACACAGGTGGTGAGGGTTGCAGGCAAAATCCCAGAGTGAAGTCAATCCCCGGCCATGATCTTCCCACCCGGCCATGTGCCACCAAGCTGGTGGCTGCAAGCCACCCCCACGCCCGAATTTCCCACCCTTCACGCCAGGCGCGGCCTAAGGGCATTGCCCGCTATGCCTGCATCACCGGCGGATTGAACTGCCACACGTTTCAGCCAACGATCATCCGGGACCCCCAACACCCCCACGTTCGAATTTCCCCTCGGGCCACAAAGAAGGCGGTATCGAGGGCATTGCCCGCCACAAGCAGATAGCCGTGCTCAGTATCACCGGGCGGATGGTATCCGCCACATGTTTTCGCCAACATCATCCACATTCCCAATACCCCCACGGCCCGAATTTCGCTACGCGTATCGGCATCACCGCCACAAAGTGATAGTGTGCTATGCCTCGTATCAATGGGCGGATTGAATCCGCCACACCGTTGCCCAACAGATCATCCCACACCCCCCTTCCCCCACGCGGCCCGGCATTTCCCGCCATGGCGGCGGTACTAATGGCGTCCCCTTGCCTTGCCTATGCTGCGGCTTGCCTTGCCTGTGCTACGGTATGCCTCACCTGGTGGGTCCATGACCTAAGCGTGGGGCGGCAGGCATTGGAGACGGTGGATGGCAACAGGAGGGCAACAAAATATGTGTGCAGTCACAGCCAACGTCCGCTGTATGTGGACCCTGGTTGAGCCACGCTGGCAATCAACCCGATCCCCAGATTTGGAAATCAGTACTTACTGCCTGGGCTCTGCTGTCATCCACTGATTCGGTACACACGTTCACTGTCATCCGCTAGATTAGCGGATGGGGTACGTGGCTTCCGGTCCATAAGAGAATATCTGTTAACACCCAGGCAGAATCCGCAGAGTCCGCTGATTGGGGCCAGCCGTCCGCTGCCATCTGTGCCACGTCAGCAACAGAGAGGGTGTGGTCCGCTGAATTAACGGATATTAGTGGACGGCAGCCCCCGTCCGCTATTAACGGATCCGGGTGGCCACCTCTAGTGCGTAACATTCCCTAGTTGCATACACCCTCCAGTTACCATCCAGTTGGCGTATTCATCCGACCTTCCACATCGAGAAGCTGAAGAAGTATGAGCGCAGTGAGACGTTTTCAGCACACTGTCAGTTCGCCTCTAGAATCACTAGAGGTAGAGGGCGAGCAAGAGTTTGAGGTCGAGGCGATCATCAGACATCGTGGCAGCGCTTCCAAAAGATAGTATTTGGTAGCCTGGAAAGGCTATGAGCTTCATAAAGCAACCTGGGAATCAGAGGCCAACCTCACTCATTGTTCGGACCTCGTTGCAGAGTACCTCCTCAGGCTACAACGACAAGAAGCAATCAAGAAGGCCAGACAGAGTCGCCGAAAGAAGTGAAGGATTGCGTGGACACATGGATAGCAGGGGTTTATTGTGAGTTAGATCGTGGTATGGGACACGGCTAGTCTGACTTATTGTGGATTTCTGTTGGGTACGCCGTATCTTCTTTCTTGCTGGTTTTCTGGGTCGTTGGTCTCGTGGCCGAGGACGGCCACACTTGGTGGGGGGGGAGAATTAGAGGTGGCCCCATCTGTCCATCCCCAACAGAATTTGTTTAGCTCCGTTAAAATTCTGTACAATCAACAGAATTTATGAGGGAGCCACAGAGACAAAAAGCGTTTTACAGAAACGGGTAGGGCCATACTGACGTCAGCATAGACAACTACAGAAATCCACACAGCCTTACAGAATGAAACCAAGTGTTACAGAATTCGCGCCGCCGTCTACGGATGATAGGCACCCGCAACAGAACCGCTGGCCGGACCACAAAGGTCGACAGAATTCCATAAGAAATCGATGGCAATCGCTGCCAGGAAGGGCCCGCACTTATGATTTATAGTATGCTGTGATGATGTGTTCTGTGTGTTTGCTGCCTCCAGCCAAGTACCGGCAGCGATCGCTGCTAGGAAGGGCCCGCACTTATGATTTATAGTACGCCGTGATAATGTGTTCTGTGTGTGTGCTGCCTCCAGCCAAGTACTGGCAGCGATCGCTGCCGGGAAGGGCCCGCACTTACGATTTATAGTACGCCGTGATGATGTGTCCTATGTGTGTGCTGCTATGGCCGAGTACCGGCAACGATCACTGCCGGGAAGGGCCTGAGCTAAGTATTAATAATTTGCCAATTGAGTCAATTGAAGAATGGAAAATAGCTGAATGGCATGTCGGGCGGCACTTTGTTAAGGCATATCCAGTTTTCCTGGACGTCATGACCACGCCTCTATTCGCGACAAGCTTCCAGAATCTCAAAGTCCATGACGGATGGCAACGGAATGCCAGGAAAGGCAACGGAAAAAAAAACATCTTTACAGAAATTGGTGGCTGCAAACACCCCCTTGACGGACAGCTCCAGAGCCAAAAAACTGGAAGCTGACGCGGCATGAACGGCAACAGAAAACCGGCCCCAGCAAAACAATAGAAAAGTGACGGACGGATTTTTTGTCTTGAAAAAAAATACGGACAGAAAATAACAGAAAAAAAGCTGAGCGGCCACGTCCAGGGAGAATTGATACAGTTGCTTTGTAGATGTAGTAAATGAGAACATTTAATTAATAACAATCTAAGGGTTGAGTTGTGGAACACTCGGGTGCAAAGGACAATCAAACGGATAATTTAACTGATGTATAATCAAAGCCTTTTAATGTCATGCCCCGGGGGTCCGGTTGACTCCCCATTTCGTCCGACCGTGTGCCCGAGGGAGCTTCCAAACTCCCTGCATCAGTCTTATTTGTTCAACTTTCCACAATTTTTTGACCCATGTGCCAATATTTATGCACATTCTTCAGCACAAATATGTGCTATGCAGCCAGTCAGGTACTAACTTGGTACATCATCTGGGGTGATGTAATTAGGGATCTGCACATCGTGTGCTCCCTGCTGGCAATTTGGCATCATGTCTTTGTTTGTGTGTAAGCAGCGCTTGGCGGCTGTCGTTTCCAAATTCTCATTGGCCTATGGTGTTTAGAGGTGGCCACCCGGATCCGTTTATAGTGGACAGAGGTTAATTTCCGTTAATTTTCTGTTAATTAACGGAAAATAACGAAAAAAGACAAAAATTAACCAAAAATTAGCGGATTTTTGGATTTTTTGGGATTTTTTGGGTTTTTTTCATACTTATAGTTTATGGAATTCGCTATTAGAGAGTATGTTTGTATTTTATTTCAACCTATGCATACTAGATTTTCAACTAGCCGCAGTTGTTGTGATTTTTTGGGTTTTTTTTTCGATTTTTTTGGATTTTTTTCATTTTTTCTGAATTTTTCTCCCTTTTTCTTTAACGAAATTTAACGGACAGCTGATAAAAATTAACGAACCGGATTTAACGGACCGGATGGCACCCTTGAGTGGCCACCTCTAATGGTGTTGTGCCAACCAGTCAGTCACCGTATGACAGTCACATGTCACTATTTGAGTGAAGCAGCAATATAACGACTTTAACACCACACCTAGAGGGACTTGAGTGTGCAAGTTGCCAAACAGTTGGCGTCTGCATTTCAGTCTGCAAAGGACCCGTCTGCACCACAATGCACACCAGTGGGGTAGCAAAGTAACTCCAGTACTTTAACGAGCAAGGGCCAATTTGAAGCGCACTTTTTGTGAAGGCACGGTCCGGGCCAGCGTGGCGCGGAAACGGAAAGGTACAATATGGAAAGGATGCGCACAACGGACATATCTTCTTTGGTGCCACCGTAAGGACGCTATGACGGCTTGAGGGAATAATACAATACCGTCCCCCTTCCCTACCCGGCCACTGCGAGAGCCCCGTTCAACAACTTCCCCCTTGGCTGAGGGGCCCCAGGAAGGGAACGGTATTGCATTATTTCCCTCAAGCGGTCATAGCGTCCATACGGTGGCACCAAAAAAGATATGTCCGTTGGGCGCATTTTTTCCATATTGTACCTTTCCGTTGCCGCGCTACGCTGGTCTGGACTGTGCCTGCACAGAAAGTGCGTTTCAAAGTGGCCATTGTTCGTTAAAGTACTGGAAGTACTGTGCTACCCCGACGGTGCGCCCGCCCGCTGGGGTGCATCCAAGCCCCCCTCACTCGTGTTGGCAGCAACCGACCAGAATCTGACTGCTCAAGTTGGCATGTTGTGGGACCATCAGCGTCATGACGCCATCTGTCCCAGGTTGCCCAAGAGGGGCTTTCTTAAGGAACGGAAATCCTCCTGTGGGGTTGGGAGGGTGCCACAAGAAAATCGAGCCCCCCCGTGGCTCTCCTGGTTCTTTTCGAAAGGTGAGCGCAGCGCGCTTGGTGCCCGGCGGCGCCAGCGAGAAAGCAGTCCGGCGGTCGGCGTGGGGGCCAACTGTATATCCTGGTCTGTGTTGCCCGATTGGCGACCGCCGTCGCATGCCTCGAAGCAGTGGTCCCAGAGGGGTTGTTCGGTTGCTTCTGCGAACGATGGGGCGCACGAACTGGCAGGGCCCAGATTTCTGCGGGCGGGCGCACTGAATCACCTGCCACACCAGCGTACTACTGCGCTTCGATCGAACGGTACCGCGAACGGCAGCTTGCGGGCAGTTGTCGCCGCGTCCCCTGCGGCCTCCCCTCCCCCCGTGAGGGCCCCTTCGTGCCAAAAGTCCGCTCCAAGGGTCCCACGATCTAACAACTCGCTCTCCTCGTGCCGCGGCGTCCGCAGAAAGGCCGCTACATATCAACTGGGCCTTGCTGGACCGTCGCATCTGCTCCGAGGTGGGGCCGCCCCCTTCGTTAGGGCTGGTACCGGCGCCCGGGACCGTACCGGCCGACGCCCCTCGCCGCGCTCCCCGGACTGCCCGCGACCGGGATGGTGGCCTGGAGCATCGCCCTGCCCGCGCTGGCGGCCACGGCGTGGATCCTGATCGGATCCCTGCTGTCCGTTCTGGCGCCGGGCCTGCTCCTGTCACTGGGCCGGCACGCTGCCGCGGCCAGGGCCCACCAGGGGGCCGGTGCTAAAGGCATTGCGGCGGGATGCGGCGAGCCCGAGCGAGCTGCCGCGGACGCGCAGGGCGCAAAGCTGCGGAGGAAGGAAGAGGCGAACCCTGGAGGCGAGGACGAGTGCGGCGTGGGCGCCTATCGCGGCGCCGGAGCGATTTCGGCGTTTCTGGGCACACCGGAGTTAGCCGATGAGGAGGAGGAGGAGGAGGGCGGCCTCGAGGCGCCGCCGGGGTGCGTGTCGATGACGCGCCACACGTCCGTGCCGCACGAGCGGCCACGCTTCCAGTCGCACCCCGTTCCCCGCGAGCTGGACCTCTTCATGGACGCTCCCTCCAACCTGACGGTCGTACTGGATCTGGACGAGACGCTGGTGCGGTCCTACAGCCAGGACAACGTGCCCGTCCACCTGGAGCTGGCGCGGGAGCTCATCAAGCTGGAGGTGGACTGCGTGGGGCGGTCGGGTGCCACCAAGGTGGTGTCGTTCCTGCGGCCCGGCCTGTTCGAGTTCCTGGCGAGGGTGTCCCGGCTTGCCAACGTGTACGTATACACCGCCGGCGACGCCGACTACGCCCGGCCCCTGATCCGCGTGCTGGACTGCGAGGGTCGCTTCTTCAAGGGGGCCTTCTACCGCGAGGCCACCGTGGCGACGAGCCTGCACGACCACGTGAAGGACCTGGAGATGCTGGGCGCGGACCTGACGAGCACCGTGCTGGTGGACAACAACCCGTACTCCTTCCTGCTGCAACCGGACAACGGGCTGCTGTGCGAGTCGTTCTTCGGGGAGCCCGAGGACACGCACCTGCTGGACGTGGTCCTGCCGACGCTGCAGCTCCTGGCAAGGGTGTCGGACGTCAGGCCCATCCTCAGGAGGAGGTATAACCTTGCGGGATGGTGCCAGGCGCTGGAGGGCTGGTGCGATTAATTAGGAAACTCTGCTTGCCAAGCCGGCTCCCGCCTGCCACGGACGGCTGGGCTGTCGCGCGCGGCTGTGCAGAGGTTTATCGGATTCCCTTTGATGTTGCAGTCTGGGGAGGGAATGTACAAAGAGTTAACTTACAGTAGTGCGTTTTTTCAGTGGGTGGTCGGAGAAGGGCTGGGAAACTCTCCGGTGATGCCCGATGTGAGAGTGGATGAATTCTTCTTCAACCCTGCAGGAGGGTTGACTGCACCCTCGCCACAACACTGCTGGGTACAGTTTTGATTTCAGCTGCTGTTTGCAGTTGCATAAAGGGCCTTTGCCGGGCCCAAGGGTGGCCAAGGATGGGCGACAACATGGTGATCAGGAGGGGGAATGCCCATTTGTCCTTTCAAGGTATGCCTGGAACTGAGGTGACCTTGTTGTCGCATGGCCGGCTGTATGGTTGGTTCAGGGAGAGCATTTTATTACATTTCATCGGCCTGTGTGCCAATTGTTGTGAAACTGTTTGTGGACGGTTGGGTGTGTCGAATGGAGGGGATGGTTTGCGCCTTTGTGTGGCTGCTGTGATCGCGAGGTGGGACCGGTCACAGAAGATAAGGGGAGGAGAACAGGCAGCTGTTCCTCACGAGTTGATTGATAGGATAAGAATTGATTTTCTAACAAGACTTTGGCCCACTGGTTGCTCTTTGTTGTCGATTTGCCATGCACCACCAGGGGTGGTGGAACTATGCTATTGGAGGAAGGCATGGAGTTGCAACGATGAGGCTTTTTGGTGGTGCAGTGGGTCGATTTCAGTTATTGTGCAGTTATTTGCAGGCAATGTGGGAGACAGGGATAGGAACCGTCTGCCGATCCTTGCAGTTGCCAAGAGCTCGGTTCTAAGCATAAGTCATAAAGCCAAGGCCACGATGACGAATGGGTGTTCGTTCTGGGATATAAAGCAAGAGGTTGAGCTGTTTGCGCTCTCTAAGTAGCGCGGCAGTGGACCTGGTGTAGTTCTGATACTGCTTGTACATGAATTGAAACGCTCATTTGTGGGCCGACTTGTGTGTGCTCGGCATGGCGTCCAATCGATGCCGAACGCATCTGGGCTCTGTGGATTGTGTGCTCTTTTAACGCATTCTGGATACGTGCTCGTCTGTTGGTGTCATACGATTGGGCTGCCCAGCCATGGACAGGGGTTCTTGCGATATATCCCCCCCTTCTTCACCCCATGATGGCGAATTGTGTCCAGTCTGCCACGTTTAGGGGACGGGGGCTTGTCACGCTGCGACTCGTGAGTGTCTTTATTTGGAGGCCAAGATTGTTAACAGGCTTAGTTTCCACAGAGTCCTGTGGGAGGAACGCGAGGCATGTTGTTGCAACTTCACAGTTAATCCTCAACTCAGACAACCCATGTTGCTGCAGTTATGGACCTGCAGTATTTGGCACCAAGATTTGGTGTCCGTACAATTCCAATACAGGTTTCTATAGTGCACCACCTCCGTTCTCTAGCCTTTTCTGTTGTCCACACAACGGTGGAGGCGCATACAGATGTGGATTTATCACCGGGAACCCCAGATGCGGCATCTCCTTGTGGCAATGCAGATTTGTGTATATTGGTTCGCAGCCTATCAGCGGAGCGAGATACATGGCAAGGGCAAAGGGACCAATGGGCGTCTCAGTCATGCACTGGGCCTTATGCACAATTAACTGGGCACCACAATAAAAAATGCGTTGTGATCGAAACAAATGCAGAGCACGCACGCCTCAAGGGTCTCGACGCAGGCGTGCACCGCATCTGTTCCTGACACTCCGCACTTCAAAGAATTAGACAACTCACAACATAGGCAATGGGAAAAGTCCCTGCAAGGCGAATGTCACGCCCTGCAGGCAGTCCTCCGCCACCGTTCACTGTCCATGCATTTGTGGGTCCGCCCAATGTGCCACCTGAGCCAGCTGTGGCGCAGCAAATCTTTGCAAAAGCTCGTGATACGAGACAACATTAAAGGGGCAGAAATGCGGAAACATATATGCGTATTTGTTGTTGTTCATTCGGCAGCAATGCTCTCTGTGTTGCGCACGATTTTGTCAAAGATAAACTGCAATACTGAGTGCAGGCGGCTGGCGGCGCTTCCGAGGAACGTGCAGGAAATGGAGTGCTGGCATTGCCCCTCACTCCTTGAAGAGTGACCTTCCATTTGGCCTTTTCTTTCTTGCGCATCGACTCACCTGGCAGTTCCAGGTATCTCGCCACCCTCGTTGGCACCCAATGGGGTGAGCGCGGTGCTATTCGAGGATCCAACCTCCCAGGCGGCGCCAACCGGAGGCAGGGAGCCACCGCGCGTTGACTGCTAGGGCGGCGCCTCCACTCCCGTTGCTGTCACTTGGCTGGCGCCAAAAAACTCTTCCTCCTCCCTCCCCCCAGGGGTGTGTTTCCCTCGACGATGCCTGTCCCCGAAAACAGACTGCCATCCCGCAGGAACTCCTCTTTAATCCAACTTGTCAACATACAAGGATAATGAAAGATGAAGCCTTGTCCCTCAACGGAACAGAGGCTCACTAGGTTGCGATGGATCGTGGACCACACGCAAGTTGGCCAATAGTGGCGCTGTGCATGAAAACCTCGATTCAAGCATCACTCAAGGCAGAATGAGCAAGCAAGGTGACAACATAACCTTGGAGCAACAGTTCACATGGATCCCAAACTTAGCGTCCTGGATGGGAGTCTTTTCCCGTGCGTTGCAGGTCCATGCATCAAAATTCAATAATAGGGGAGAATTGGGGCGTGGTCGATGCTGTGACGACGGCCATTTGCGATGAGGATACATGCACGTTCGATCGTGTTTAGCAAGCGCTCTACCACATGCTGGATGACAGCCTTCGCCACGATGGTGGCAGCAACGGTTTGCCACTCGCAGCCATGGAAGCGGACCAGAACCGTTGGGGTCTCCATAGTTTTTGGACCAAGCCAGGGCAATTTCTGGGGCAGCTCACAGGGGTTACGGCCAACTATTTTCTTTGAAATTGGGGCCCAATCTTTCGAATTGGGCGCCGCGGCGGGAGCCTCGCCTGCATCGAACCGAAAACCACGCCAGGGCCCGGATGGGCCTCCTCCGCCGGATGACCGGCGGGCTGTCCGGGGCGCTCGCTCCTTCGGGGTGCGCAGTGTGGGCCCAGGCCTGCAAATGGCCGGGCGCAGGGTGGCCGGGCATGCTGTGGATGCGCGGCGCCGTGCAGCTCGCGGGTGCAGCCGCGGGGTGCGCGGAGTGGGCGAGAGAATGGAATTACAATCTGATAGGAGGTCCCCCCTTTGAGGTGGTGGCCTCCGCCCGGATCACGTGACAATGCGGCCGCTGGGCCCAATGATAGTATCTCATCCCCCAATACGGTTCCGACGAGGGAGTCCAAAGTACTGGTAATGTATCTAACCATAACTCCTCTACCGCTAACCCAATGGAGGTGGTTCAAGAACCTATGAGTTCCTAATAGGCTCTATTATCATATGAGATATTCAATCGCATTGTTCATTATACTTTAACCTCCCAGTAACCCAATTACTAGAGAAACATACTACCCCCTATGCTTTACACCACAATACTCCCCCATGGGGGTAGTTTCGCCCTCAAAACCTCAGGCTAACCAGTGGACCTAATTATCCTCTATTGGTTTGTCTCTCTTGATCATCTTCTTTAATTCCTCTGGGTAGGTAAAGTTGTCCTCTGGGGTCCAAGAGGCATTGTCAATTGAATAGTCCTTCCACAGGACCAAATACTCTTTGTGCCTCTTGGTACTGGGACCGGCCCACCACCAACGCAGCAATTTCTCGATGTCATACGGCTCGTCATCCTTGGGGTCTAATTCCTCTACCTGACCAGACATAGTGGGTTGCGTCCATGAACTGGTTCTGAAAGGACGCAGCAAGCTGACGTGGAAAACATTGTGAATCTTCCATGTTTTGGGGAGTTCAAGCTCGTAGGCCACTTGTCCCACCGGACGGACAATAAAGAATGGCCCAACGAACCTTTTCTTTAGCTTGCGGATCGGTGAGTTCTTCATGTTCAAATGCTCTGTCGAGAGCAGCACCTGATCCCCACTACTGAACCTTTGTTCCCTTCTCTTCTGGTCGGCCTCCGTCTTCATACGATCTTGAGCCCTGTTCAAGAATTTGACAGCCGTCGAGAAATTCCTCTTCATCCGCTCGACAAACTGGTTAACTCCCTCAATCAGAATGGAGTCACTGTCGCGGATGAGGTCCGCCGGTGTATACGGATGGTACCCGTAATTCAAATAGAATGGCATATACCCGGTTGCTTGCGTTGGACTATTGTTGATGATAAATTCAACAGTGGACAACAGTCATTCCCAGCTCGATCCCTCCTGCCCGGCATGCAGGGTGCAGTGCAACACCATCTCCACCACCCTATTCATTGCCTCTGTTTGACCATTTGTCTAAGGGTGGTAGGCACTGGACATCCGCAATGAGCTTCCCAGAATGCTCCATAATTCTTGCCAGAATTTGGACACAAAACGGGGGTCTCTGTCACTCACAATGGAACGTGGAATCCCATGTAACTTTCCCACTATGTTCCAGTAGAGTCGGGCAGTCTCAGTAGCCATGATGGTCTGCTTGACCGGTGCCAAGTGCACCATTTTGGTGGCCCGATCTACGATGGTGAGGATTCCATCATTCTCTGCATCTGATTTGGGCAACCCCATAATGTAGTCCATGCTGACGTCTGCCCACTTTTGTTCTGGGAGCTTGAGCGGCTGCAATAGTCCAGCAGGGACACGGTGGACAGCTTTCTCTTACTGGTAGATTGGGCACCCCATCACAAAGTCTCTGATGTCCGAGGTGTGCTCAGGCCAGTAGAATGTTTTTTGTATATTTTCAACATTTTGTGGTAGCCCAGATGACCCAAATAAGGGACCTCATGCAGTTCCCTCATTATCTGCCTCTTGATCTCTTATACATCTGGCACCACCAGCCGCCACTGTGCCTTCCTGTGTTTGTCGCTGTCCCTCATCTCCAAAAGTCCTCCTGACTGCCGGAAGGATCGATCTCCAATGACCACAGCATTGTCTTGAGCAAATTCCAGCTGGGAAATGATATCTGCCCAATGTGGATCCTCTTGTATCCCTCTTTTTATCCTCTCTCTCAAATCTTTCGCCAGTGAAGTACGGGACCTGGCGACATAGAGTGAAGGTCCCATTTCATCTTCTTGACCCTCCACTTGGGTCACCTCCGGTCTGCTCTTGGCAAAAACTTGATCCAATTTTCTTTGGATCCCGTCGTCAGACGTATCTTCTCTTAATAACAACCTTTTGACCAACGATTCTTCCTCTTCTTGGACGTGAACCATTCCTTTTACGTCCTTGAGACTTCTCCGAGAGAGGAAGTCTGTAGGGTTCTTTTGTCTGGTATGTGGACCAAGTCACAATCATACCCCTGAAGAACTTAAACCCATTTCCAAATCCTCCTGTTCACCGCTGGTTGATTGGGTAAGTTCTTCAATGAATCATGGTCGGTCTGGATTATGAAATGGCGACTGGCAAGGTAGTGCCGCCATTTCCCCACTGCCCAAACAATTCCCAACAACTCCCGTTCATATGCCCCATATCTTATTTCAGCAGGATTCAGCTTGCGGCTCTCATAGCAAATTGGTTGTAATCCTGAGCCGAAGTCCTGCTGCAAGATTGCGCCTACCAACACTTCTGATGCATCTGTAGTGACGGTGAACTCGCGCTCAAAATCGGGAAGCTGCAGTACTGGAGCGGTGACCATGGCCTTTTTGAGCCCATTAAATGCTTTCTCCTCTCGGTCACCCTAGACCCAAGGCGTATTTTTCTTTGTAAAGTCTGTCATTGGGGCTGCAATCTCTCTGAACAAGCGAATGAATTTGCGATAGAAGCTGCACAACCCTAAGAAAGTCCTCACGTCTATGACGGTCTCCGGCTTTGGCCAATCGAATATGGCCTTGACCTTTGATAGTGA